CTCCACCTCTGCACTGCAGTTACTCAAAGATTCTGGAATTATTTAAACCTGCTCTGAAGGTAAAGTCTATTCACACTAAAAATGCCACAAGCAGCGTTTTTAGCATAGTGATGAAACAATTTACAGTGGTCATTTATTAATTACTTGTCAATATTGTGATTAACAGAGATGCTGTGGTTGGTTTTAGGGCAGCCATTCCGGGCTGGAATGTTCATTTATCACAAACCAGCCAGGTGGATTTCCTTTAACACAAATACAAAATTCTGCAAATTCTCCCACTCCTGGAACTTCATCTTAAAATGTCCTGTGGATAAGGCTGGGAGAGATCTCCCAAATCCCAGTCCATCCCATTCCCAGTCCGTCCCAGTCCATCCCAGTCCCTGCCCACGCCGGGTCCCTGGAGCAGCTGCTCTGGGTGCCTCACCGCAGCCTCTCGCTGCTCTCCCTCGTTCCGCAGTTTCCAGCCGCCGGCACGAGGCCGCAGCTTTATTTTACTGCCATCTACTGGAAAAACGGGATTTTCCCTCAAATCGCGAGGAGCGGGACGCGCCGCAGCCCCGCCAGGCCGGGCCTGTCCCCGCCTCGCGCTCCCGGGAGCGGCGCGCAGCCCGCGGCAGAGCGGGGCCGCGACTCCCGCATTTCCCGGGATTCTTTCCCGCATTTCCCGGGATTCTTTCCCGCGATTCCCGGGATTTTTCCCCGCATTTCCCGATTCCCGGGGCTCTCCCGGCGCGGCGGCCCCGCGGTGGGTGTGTGGGACCGACCGTTGGCTGAGGCAGCCGGGGGTCGGTGCTGGTTAAAGGGAGCGGGGCAGGTGGAAGGGCCGGGATCGGGCACAGTGAGGGGATCGGGGCAGGTGTGAGGATCGGTGCGGGTTCAGGGGGTCGGTGCCGGTGGAAGGAGCGGGATCGGAGCACGTTAAAGGGCCGGGGCAGGTGTCGCTGTGAGGGAGGGTGACGGGGCCGTTGGGCCGCCCGGTGCCGCCCGGTGCCGCCCCAGCCCCGGAGGCCGTGCGGGGTTAAACGCCCCCAGCGCGGTTCAGTAGCGGAGAGCTGGGTTTGTCTCCCTCTCAGCAGGGCAGGGTTCAATCCGCATTTCACACCGAGATGTTCAGCCCCGTGGCTGGAGGTGCTGGAGTGTGTTTGCTGCTCAGTGTCCTGGGCAGTGCACTCGCCCGGGTTTGTGTTTTATTAATCCCCTAGCCACAGGCTGCCTGAGCTCCTCTCAGTGCCAGCGCTGCTCAGAGCTCCGGCTGTCCTGCAGTTAAAGCTCTGCCTTCGCGTGTGTGAGGCACTGGTGGCAGATTGTCTCCTTGTGCTCGTTTCCCGAGGGGACGGTGCTGCTTTATTTACCTTGGCAGATTGGGGTTTTGTCCCCTGTGAGGCACAGGTTGTCCAGAGAAGCTGTGGCTGCCACATCCCTGGAATTGTTCCAAGCCTGGACGGGGTTTGGAGCAGCCTGGGGTGGTGGGAGGTGTCCCTGCCCATGGCAGGGGTGGAACAGGACCATCTGTAAGGTCCTTTCCAGCCCAAACCGTTCTGTGATTCTGTTCCACACCATAGGCACTGTGGTGGCTCCTGTGATTTCAAGTCTGAGCCCAGTTTATTCCCTGTGGGAATCTTCTTTTACCACAGGAATATAAATATAAGTGATGCAGATGCTTCTCCCCTCAGCCAGAGCTGCTGAATTGCCTGCTCTGGCCCCATTTCATGTCTTTGGTCAGATCTGTGATTTGTAGTGGATGAAAATGGGACCAGAGCACGGTGAGAAGCCCCAATAATTATTTTAAATCTTTTTGAAAAAAACTCTGAGGAATGTCATCAGCAGCCAAGATAAGGGTGGGTGAGGAAGGGAGCAGCAGGCCTGTGATGTGGTTTGTTGTCTGCATCTCCTGGTTACTGGGAGCTCTGGCTGGGGCTGCTTAAAGGAAAATCTCCTGCTGAGCTACAGCACATTCCAGGAGAATTCCCAAAGCTGTGCCACACAGATTAGCACTCTTGGTTTCTAGGAATATTCCTGCTGTTATAACAGCTTGTGAGTTCTGTGCAGGAAACTTCCCTATGCAAATCCTCTGCATGAAATTAAAGTAATAATAGAAATTATGTCTTGTTTGAAATAACATTTGCTTATTTATTAATTTGTTGCTTGTTATTGTAGCCACGAGGCTTGCAGGAGGTGGAGGCAGGGAGTGTGTGTGAAAGATGAGCTGGAAACTGAGACTGGTTTTCTCAGCACTGTCCTGTCAGGCTGCTTTGCATACAGTGGAGGAAATGAGCTGATTACCTCAGATAAGATTAGCCTCCAGAACAGAGTCATAATGGGCTCCAGCTGCCCCAAAAGGACAGACTTGGTGCTGAACTGGAAATAGTGCCTGGGTTGGAGCCCCTGGGGGAGCAGCTGTCCCCGGGCAGCAGCAGTCACTCACAAAGGTGCTGGCTCCATCCCTGAAACCCTGCCCAGGTGCAGGAGCTGTGTGTGCCCTGCCAGCTGCACTCTGCGTTTCATTCTCTGTGCTTTGTTGTGCCAGGTGCTCTCTCCAGAGGGAATCTGCAGCTGCAGCCTTACGTAACTTCCTGAGTGGGGGAAAAAATAGAATATTTCCATCTAATATCTAATAAAAAGAAACACATCTACTACCAAGTACAGCTTACAAAAGAAATAAGTGGGATTTATTGTTCTAGGACTGATTTTTCATGCCCTGAAGTAAGCAGTAATGTTATACTTGCATGTTTCATGTCAGGTGAGGGTCAGGTTAATTATATCAGACAAAATTCTGTTACTGCAGAGTGCTGGAAGAATAAATGTATTAATTGTTTGTCTCCATCCAGAATTTAATTTTAAAAGTAATTTAGTGTTCAGCATGTGAAGGACAGATTTGGTGGGCAAAGCCCTGTGCACCCCTCAATTTCTCTTCATCACTTCTATGCTATAACAAAAATCACAGCCTTCTCATCAAAAGTATCTCCCACCCAAAAAAGGTCATATTTAAGTCAGTAATTGTTAAGTTGGAGTGTCCTACAGCTGCTGCCATCCCATAAAATCTGTGCTTGGAGCAAGGAGCTTCAAATCCTGCAGGTCCCCTGCAGAGACTGCCTTGCTCAGTACATCCCTGTTTGTCAGGGTGAGCTCCTCCTCTTGGAATTGTGGCTTGAGTTTCAGTCATTGGAACCACCAGGGTTTAATTCCTTGGAAACCTTGTCTTCCACATGGATTTTCTGTTCCCTTTCTGTTGATTTCACCCTACTCCAGATCATACCAAAATTGGGGTGTTTCCTTTGAGGCTTGACATGAATTCTTTTTATTAATGACTCCCTGAAGTTGGGAATTGGGGCCTTCCCTCCTGTTCCTGAGCCTGCCATTGCTCAGTTTGTGTCTGATTTCCCTGTCCCTGGTTCCAAGGAGCTCTTTGTGTTGATACCCAAACCTCTCTGGGGTTTGGGATCTGCTGGAGCTGTGCACATCCCGAGTGGTGCTGTGTGGTTCCCTGCCCTTGGCTCATGCCAGCGCTTTTTCCATCTGTTCTTCATCCTGGCTTGGGTGAGCTCCTTATCAGCCAGGGCTGGAGCCAAGGAGCAGAGCAGGGGCTCCCCCATGGCATCACTAAAACACTTCCAAAGTCTCTTCTGGGCTGAGTTTAAGTCTGGGTACAGCATAAAGGGATATTTTTGTGTTAAAAAAAATCTTATTTCAAAATGAATCCAACCTAACGTTTGTCTTTTTCACTTGAAAGGGGAGAAAATAAACATTAAGTGTGACTTTGGCACAAGACCAAAGCAGCCACGTGATGTGGGAGCTGCTTTTTGTGGGGCTGGAGATAAGGGGTGAGGAGCAGCAAAGCTGGGCAGGAGATAACTGGGCAGGGAAAAGTCAGGAGCAGCCTGGAGCCTTTCCTCCTGAGATGTCCCAGGAAAGGCTCTGCTGTCCTGGAGGGTGTGGGGAGTGCCAGCAATTGAGGGAAGCAGCATGAGGTGCATTAAACCCAAATAAACGTACCTGGGAAGTGACTGTGCACGGTAGTGAAGTGTTTGCAGTGGGATAGCAAAGGGGAGATGGGATGGAAGGAGGAAAGGGAGCAGGGTCATGCGTGTGGGACGTGTTCATGCGTGTGGGACGTGTTCATTTGCAGCCTGGCCCTCAGGCAGCAGCACTGCTCATACCCTGCACTCCTGAAAAATTCCTGCTTTGCTCCTCTTTTGGCCTTAATTAGGAATATCAGTGCTTGTCCAGTTCAGAGAATTAGGGAAGTTGAGCAAGGTTTTCCTTGCAAGCCAAGCTTTGGGAATGCCAGTGGAGTTCTGTAGGTTTTTGGCAGAGGAGAGGGAAAATAAGAGGAAAACAAAAAGCCAGTGAGAATCTCCTTCCTAAGCACAGGGGAGGGATGTGGGAATGGGATTTGTGGAGAGGGAAGGCACAGGTGCTGCAGTGGGTGACTACAGGAGGTGGAACTGGCCTGAATTTAGAGGATAATGGGTATTTTTAAGCATGTGGGACAAAAGGAAAAGGGAGAAGGAAAATTAGGATGGGGACTGCCAGCAGGAGAAATTTGAGGGATGAGGGGGGGATCCAGTGGGACATGAGGAGTTCAGTGAACCGGACTGTGCTAAGCTTTGGAAGATGAAGGGGGAAAATGTAAAATAAATTATTTTAATGTCAGGTGTTGGAGGTGGATATAGTGATAAATAAAATATGGGCCAGTTTATGGTTCTGGCAGGTATTGAACACAGGCTGGAGTGAAAGGTGCAGCCAAGGATGGATATCTCTAAAGATGAAGAAAGAGGAAAAGGAATAGGGACAGCCAGGAGTGCAGGAGAGCAGTGAGGGCAGCTGAGAGAAAACAGATCTCAAACACCCAACCTGAGAGATGGGAGTGGAAGAGGAAACCAGAGTTTATTTGGAATGGGAGATCGCCCAGTTGGGTCCTATTAAAGTAAAAAAATTGGATAAAAACCCCTCTGGAATATTAAAAATCCGAGTTTGAAGTGTCCTGGAGCCATTGTCCATCGGCTGGAATAACGCAGTGCCTCTGGCGTGCAGGGATCCCTTTGCTGCCCACCATGAGCACATGAGGCAGCTGCTGAGGAACTTCCCCGACCCTTTCGGCCGGGATCCGTTCCTGAGCCTCCCGGAGGGAGGGGAGAGACCGGCGGAGAGGAGAGCGGGCGGCAGAGCCCAGCAGGACTCGCAGGTGGCCACGAGGGGCACCCGCAGGGTAAGTGTCCCTGGGGAAGGGGCAGCTCCTGGGGAAGGGGGCAGCTCCCTGGGGAAGGGGGCAGCTCCTGGGGAAGGGGGGCAGCTCCTGGGGAAGGGGGCAGCTCCTGGGGAACGGGGGCAGCTCCTGGGGAAGGGGGCAGCTCCTGGGGAAGGGGCAGCTCCTGGGAAAGGGGCAGCCCCTGGGCAAGGGGGCAGTCCCCGGGAAAGGGGCAGCTCCTGGGAATGGGGGCAGCTCCCTGGGAACGGGGGCAGCTCCTGGGGAATGGGGCAGCTCCCTGGGGAAAGGGGCAGCTCCTGGGGAAGGGGGCAGTCCCTGGGAATGGGGGCAGCTCCCTGGGAACGGGGGCAGCTCCTGGGGAATGGGGCAGCTCCCTGGGGAAAGGGGCAGCTCCTGGGGAAGGGGGCAGTCCCTGGGAATGGGGGCAGCTCCCTGGGAACGGGGGCAGCCCCTGGGAAAGGGGCAGCTCCTGGGGAACGGCTGCCTCTGCTCCTGGAGCCTCCTCAGCTGCTCATCGCCTGGGAACGGGAAGGGTTCCTCGGCTGCTTCCCTCACAGCACATCCCTTATCTCTGCTGAACATCTGTCTGCGTTGTACTGATCACTGGACAGACATGTAGTGAACAAACTGATCACTTATCCACTCATTTAATGAAAAAACTGATCACTTATCTGGTTGTACTGATCACTGAACAGGCATTTAATGAACAAACTGATCACTTATCCAGTGCTTGCTTTCATAAATATAATACACTAAATGTTTCTGTTAGAGAAAAGCACTTTTCTGTTAGAGAAAAGTGTCCCATATCCTCTGCACATGTATTTCCTTTTCATGTTTAACTTGACTTTAAAAGGTGCCTGGATGTGGCTGCACTATCCCTGGACGTGTTCAAGGCCAGGTTCTTTCCAGGTCCCTTCCAACCCAACCCATTCCATAATTCCATGATATATTTGTGCATTTCAGTCCCTTGTGTGCAGCTGTTTCAGTTTGATTTCCACAAACCTGGGTTTCACCACCTCAGGAATATCCGTCCATGGATTTTAAACCCTGTTTCAGCTTTGCAGCTGGGAATAAACACTTCATGCTCTGAATTTGGGCTGATTGTTAATATTCTCTCAGGTACAAACCTGTAAGAATTAAAGCTCAGGGAAATTGGTGTGGAATTCAGTATTTCTGTGTGTTGCCAAGTGAAACTGATGGTCTGTGTTTAATTGAAGTGTTTTTGCAGCTCAGGGCATGCAGGACCATCATATCTAACCCTTATCTAGAGCTGTATTTATAGAGGATGAACGTTGGGAGCTGGTTCCTGTCCCTGCAGATACTCAGCAGCTGCCTCCCTGCTCCTTTCGTGCTTCCCAGGGGATTTCAGAGGCCGTTGGAGAAAAGGCAGGTGACAGGGGCTGGTGGCCAGGCCAGAGCTGGCACACAGCCTGTCACCTGCAGCTCCAGAGGGCAGCTGGCACATTCCTGCCCTGCTCATCCAGTTCCTGGCAAATATAGAAACTGCCTCTAAACAGGGCATCAGCTTCCCTCTGCTGATCCTTAGGCCTTGGCTCAGTGGTGCCTAAAGCAGATCAGAGCTTTTCCTTCAGAGAAAGAACCTGTCAAAGCTCAGGGGTTGTGTCCCTGTTCTGCAGTGAGGGACAGAGGTGAGGCCCAAAGCCTTTATCTGTGGCTGCAGCAAAGTTAAGGTACAGGAGCTCTTGTTAAAAGAACTGCACAGCAGCCAAACCCTTCCCAGGCTGTTCTGATGTTCCTCCTGCTCACTGAAGAGCTGTCAGGTGTCACACCAGACTCAGCACTGGTTGCTTGTCATCTCAAACTGCTGCTCCACCAAGGACTGAAACCCTTAAAATGACATTTTTATGTCGGAAGAGGTGGAGCTTTGCTGCCATGTCAAAATACACCGCATTCAAATTACTGACACTGATTAGTAGTGGTGTAATTCTGTGTTTAATTAAATTGCAGCAGGCCTAAAACTGCTTTAAAAGGAACCAAAGTAGTTGGGACAACTTGAGGAGTGCCACTGTAGGATTCAAATTTAAAACTCCTTTTCCTTTCTCCAGCAGGTTTGTAGTTCAGTTTTTAGGGAAGGAGGAGTGAGCTACAACATATTAAGAGGTGCTGTTAATTGGGTTTTGGCCTATCCAGTAATCTTCCTGTATACCAAGCAAATGTTTAACAGCTTTTAGTGGCTTTTTAGTGTTACAAAACAGAGTTTATAAGCTTTGTATGCCTAATAACTCTTACTGGTGAGGACTTCATATTGAGAGAAAAAAAACTTATTATTTACAGTAGCTCTGCCTAATCTGTCCTGCCAGAAAACTGAAGAGTTCCTAAAGCCATTCCAGAACTGGAGAATTCCTTCTTTTTCCTTTAAAGTTCCTGCCAGGGGTTGGGTCCTTCTGGCACCCCGTGTTATCTGACTCTCCAGTCTGGCTTTCCTGGAAACAGCCCTGTGCTTCCCAGGATCTCACTGCCCTGCCAGGCAGGAATCCTCAATATTCATGGGATAATTGGTTGATTTGTTGATTTTAATCAGTTTTCAGTGCTGCCTGACTGGAATGGAGCACTGCAGGGTGGGGCCTGAAGTGTGAAATCAGCACAAAGGTTCTTGTGGGGTTCAGATGTTTGCCAACCTCTAAGTGCTTTTCACACACTCTTATCAATATTTATTAGATGTGGTGGCACTTATCATTTTCTCATGTCATCAGTATAAATATATTATTTCCACATACCCAGGGATTAATTCATTAATTACCAAGGCCCTCCTGAGTGATTTTGATTAGATGGGAAATGTTTCATGTAATCTGCTTCATAGAAAAGTAATTTCTGCTGTTCCTGATAATAATTCCAGATGTTGCTCCTGTTTTTTTCCAGGCCACCAGCTTCTCCCTCATGCCCTTTGCAGGTTTTGGGAGAGGGGTTAGTATCCCTGGAGTGGCTCCTGTGTAAGCTGTGTGTAACCAAAGCATGGCAGAAGCTGAGCTCTGTGCTTGCATCCTGCTTTTGGTGCTGTTTGCAGTTTGGGAATAAGAAAATCCAGGGAAAAATCCTTCCTGGGGCAGTAACCTCTGGATGTGGATGGGATAATCCCTGGGGAAGCTGCAGACTTTGAGTGCAGCTGGAGAATGCTTTTGTGGGGGTGGCACAAACCCACTGCTCCCAGCAGGGCAGAACTCCCCTGGAGATGGGCTGGGAGTGGTTTCCAGCTCTGCTTTGGGGGTCTGGAATATCCTCTTCAATATCCACCATCTATCCATAGCTTTTGCCCTGAGGATTCCAATTTCTTGTACTCAAAAAATAACTTGAAGATTTTCTGTCCTTTAATTTTACTTCATTTGAGCTCAAATGCAGCTTTAATTTTGCAACACTGAAATACATAACTCTGTGTTGGTCTGGAAATGAATTTATTGAAATTTAAACCCTGAAGGGTCATACAGGACTTTCAGAGCAGAAGCTGGTGAGGTTCTTTCACATTTGTGAAAGAATTGGATATTTGAATATCCAAGGAACAGTTTTGTTAAATAAACTCATTTTGTGGCCAGTTTGACAGCTGAATGACAATCTTCCACTTTCATCTTCCCAATATTTCCATCTTAATTCAGCTCCCTCGAGTTCCTTTTGAAAAGATGCATTTTGGCTTGTCTGTGTGTGAAGTGCAGTCTGAAAAGCTTCTTGAGTTAAAAATGCATGTGAAATCCAGCTTCAGGTTTGGGAGAGATGAGACTGTTTGAGCTGAAGTCTTGTTTCCCTTTTTTAGTGGGATGCACAGTTTGTGGATCCATTTTCTGCAATGGACAGGATGATGTCAGACATGAGAAACAGCATGCTGGAAATGCACAGGAAATTTGTGAGTTCTTTTAAAAATCATTCTGAAATGTATTGCACTGGAGAGTGCCAGTTATTTCAAATATTCCTCAGAAAATAATGCCAAGAAAAATGGAACTAATCTCAATTAGACAGTAAGAATTAAAGGGGGTTTTGCCCAGATTATATTGTGTTTATAATTTTTCTTTGAAGATAAAACTGAAGTTTTATGTGGTGCCAGGAGGGTTAATTTTGTGAAGGGATATTTTCCATAAAAAATAATAAGGAATAACTGTTACCCACAAGTTTTAAGTTCCAGTAATGAGCGTGCCTTGCTTTGTAGGATGATCTGTCCATCCAGCCTGAGGGACACAGCTTCAGCTCCTCCTCCATGATGACCTATTCCAAAGTGGGGGATGAACCTCCCAAAGTTTTCCAAGCCACAGCCCAGACCCGCACGGCTCCAGGAGGGGTGAGTGATGCTGGGATCCAGCACTGCCCAGGACTCAGGTGCAGGCACACCAAAGCAGTCTCTGCAGCTGCTTTTCCTGCAGTTACTCCTGGAATTTACAGAATCCTGGCATCCCTGCCCTTGGATTGAGTCCAGTCTGTGCCCAGTCCCCACCTTGTCACTGTGTGCCACATCCAGGCATTCCTTGGACACCTCCAGGGATGGGCACCCCAAACCTCCCTGGGCAGCCCCTGCCAATGTTTATTCACCCTTTCCATGAGGAAATTCCTGCTGATTCCACCCTGAGCCTCCCGTGGCTCAGCCTGAGGCCATTCCCTCTCCTCCTGTCCCTGTTCCTGGGAGCAAAGCACGACCCCCCCAACTGCACAAATAAAATGCAGGGATTGAGGAAAACACAGGGCTCTCAAAGCCTGCTCTGTATTCAAGGTCTGATTCCCTCCCTGTAATTCTGTGCTTTAAGTACACCCCACAATAAATTACAGACCCATCCAAGGCTGGGAAAACCAAGCACAGAGCAGCAATTTTCCAATGCCCTTCTCCTTGCTGTAACGAATCCTTTTCCTTGTCCACTTAAACTCCAGGAGAGACATTGATTTATGTAACCCTGCCTTCAAAGCACCCCATGGCCCAGACACTTACATAACCCTGAGCTGCAGCTCCCTTGCAGCTGTTGTGTCTAATCCTGCTGGGAACTGGGAGTGGGAATGTGAACCTGGCCTGGGCCATGAAAGCCTAGACAGGATCCCTAAAGGCCGTGGGCAGGATTGGCTGGGAATGTGTCCCAGCTCCAGCACACCCGTTATCACAAGGCTGCTAATTATAGCCCAGGACACTGATAAGGGCCAGCCTGCCTTCCCAGCCAGCCAACACCACAGCCCAGTAACTGGTTGTTCCTCACGCTGGGAATTTGGCATCCAGTGTTGCTCTTTCTGTTGCCAAGGAGAATGTTGGAAACTTGCCTCTGTAGCATTTTTAAACTGAGGGGTTTTGCCCCCGTAATTAATACCCAGTTAAAAAACTTGAGGTGTTGTTACATCTTCCTCTCTGGTGGCCGAAGGAAAATAGGCTTGATTTGGGTTTTGTTGGTGTGTTTGCAGCCAGCACAGGAAATGAGAGAATTGGAAAAGCCTGGAAAACCTGACTTCTGTAAAGGAAAGATATAAAACTGTTGGGGGAGGATTTAACGTTTTGCATGAGCCTGGAGTGCCAGGACAAGTGGGAATGACTTCCCACTGCAGAGAGCAGGGTTGGATGAGATATTGGAAGGGAATTCTTCCAGGGAAGCTGTGGCTGCCCCTGGATCCCTGGCAGTGCCCAAGGCCAGGTTGGACATCGGGGTTTGGAGCACCTGGGACAGGGGGAGGTGTCCCTGCCATGGCAGGGGTGGCACTGGATGGGCTTTAAATCTTCCAGCACAAACCATCCTGGGATTCTGTAAACTCTGTCTCATTTTTAGTTGGAAGGACACTCAGTTCCCTTTTTGAAAAACAGGTTAAAGAAACAAGAAAAGCACTGAAGGATTCTGAAAGTGGCGTGGAGAAAATAGCTGTTGGTCACCACCTCCAGGATCGGGCTCATGTCATCAGAAAATCCAGGAACTCCAGGACTGGGGATGAGGAGATGAACCAAGAATTCATCAACATGGATGAATGTAGGTCTTTTTAGGCAGCTAATGGGCTTTACACTGTTTCACACTCTGATTTGGAAGTTCCAGCTTGAGATATCTTAAAAGGCACTTTTTGACTGAAAGTCTCCAAATCCAAATTCTCTTTTATAGATCCCAAGTGCAGGCCATGTGCAGAATTGTGGACTATGAAGTTTAAAATCACTACCCAAACCCCCTAATTCTCATTAAATGTTTTTTCCTCTCTTTACTAACATCTCAAATAAACGTATCTGTTTTCCAGCTGAGGCTGGCACCTTCGATGAGGAGTGGCAGAAGGAGGTGATGAAGTTCAGGCCTTGCCGAAGCAGAGAAGCTGTGGAGGCTTCAAGACCCAGAAGTGTCCGTTACAGCCCCAGGCAAGGTGCATCAAGAAGGTAAGAACACCTCCCTGCTGTTCTGCAGGATAAGGACATTCCAGCAGCAGAAGGAAAATGCAGTTTGGAGCAATGCTCCGAGGGGAACTGCAGCTTTTATTCCTCCTGTTTTCGTGGAGGTTGTGACCATTGTTGTTGTCTTTGCAGAGAGAAGCCGCTTGGAGCTCCAGGATCCAGAATGCCCAGGGATTCCTTGGAGGCTCTCAGTGTGAAAGGAACCCCTGTCCCCCTGAAGGGCTCCAGGAAGTAACTCCCCATTCCCCGGGGATGGAGGTTCCCTGGAGCAGATGATGGTGCTCAGTGCTCGAGTCCATAAAATACACCTGGATTTGTGACCAATCTGCTCTGTGTTTTGTGCCTTTGCTCCTCCTGCTCCTCCATGAATTCCAACCCAACAACTTTCTGCCTAAAAGCACTTTATGGAACATCTCCAAGCCTGGTAAAACCAGCTTGGATTTGCAGAGCTGTTGTGCTCCAGCTGCACCAATCTCAGGCTTTACTAAGCCTGGTACTGCAGCAGCTCCTCCTTGCCACTCTGACTTGTACAGAAAGCAAATTTCCTTGATTTTGGGTTGCTGAAATAATTACTGATTTTCTAGGTTAATTAATAGAACTTGAATACACTGTAAAGCACTACTTTAAAATCATATTATAAATTATTACAGAACCCCCAGACTCACCTTGGTGTAACATAAAATGAGAGGAAATACTGAAATATGGCAATACTTTAAATTTATCAGAGTTTTTATGTTAATAAGCTGTGCTTGCACCTCATTTCCTGTGCCTGAACTGTCAACTTTGTTTTCCTGACCCTTTGTTTCCTGTGGAGTTAGCCCATCATTTTCCATTTTGAGGATTGTCTGTAGTATTTAATTACTTTAATTATCCTGTAGTAGTTACAGTGTCCTGAGATGAGCTGCAACTAGGAGTTACTCATAGGAAAAACAGATGGGAGAAATGAGTTTAACTGGAATGATTTCACCATTTCTTGTGTTCCAGAGAGCCCTGGATACAGGAGCCCCTCTCCTGTCTGTGTTCTTTGTGTTTTACTGAGGGGAGAATGACCCTAAATCTACGTTTGATAGGAGTTTAGAAGAGCCAGCAGTGTCTGAGAGCAGGAAGAACCTGAGATTCCAGCTATTCAGTCCCTGTACTGTTGTGCCATGCAGAATTACTCCTGTGGTGTAGCAGAATTTCTGTAAATTAAATAATATAAATAAATTAATAAAATAAATAACACTAAACTATTACATATTATAATAATATATTAAATAATATAAATAAATATATTTATTTATATTATTTAATTTATATTAAGTAATATATTATACTTAATACTAATAATTATTAAAACATTACATAAATTCAAGGCTCCATTATAATGTAGCCTTTAAAAGTACTGTTTGGATGATAAAATAGGGTTTAGTAAGTTAAGAGTAATATTTGTTTGGCCAAAAAGCCTCTAAATCATATTTAATATTCCTACCGTTTCCCCAGATTATTTAATTTTAATTAATTAATGTTTATTAATGTGCAAACCCAATCAGCAGCACTTCAGCTGAGCTCTGAAAAGGGAAGGACAATTGTTTGCTTGTGGTCTCTTCCTGAATTAGAGCAGTATCAGTAGCAATCAGTTGATGTGATCAATATTAATGGCAATAATTGAACTATTTAATGATCAGTGGGGGTCGGGGGGGCTTGGACACCCCTTAAAGTCAGGGCTCAACCCAGGGGCTCGTTTTCCATCCACTGGAGACAGCGTGGATTCTGCAATTAATTTATCAGATAGTCTCAGTAATTAACAGCAGCAGTGTGTTCTGTGTTGGAATTTGAGCAGGAATCTTGGAGAGCTGCTGCTCTTAAATTGAAAATTCACCTGATAACTCGTATTTTTGTGTGAAATAAAACAAGCTCATCCTGGGTTTGAAGTGACAGTGGGAAGAGGTGAATATTCCCTCCTGATCCCTTTGCTACACCAAGACTGTTCTTCAATGTAAGGCACAAGTTGTGCTCTGTCAAAGCATCTGAAACTGCAATTCTTTAATAAAGTTATTTATTATTTATGGGGTTTGTTGGTTTATTCTGCACTGCACAGGGATGTGTCATTAGTTTGGGCTGCTTTGAAACAGTTCAGTGAAGGAAACCCGGGCTCTGGGCCATATCCCTGCCCCTGGAGGGGTGGAATGGGATGGGATTTAGCAGAACCACTCTGGAAATCCCTCAGTTTCCAGAGGTGACCATGCATTTTGCACAAAAAATAAAGTTCGATGGAACCAAACAGAGTACGGACAGGGCCTCTTTCTGTTTCAGAACAGCTCCTGGGGCCTTTGCAGGTACGAAAGGCAGCTCCCAGGGAGTCATTTTGTATCGAGAATAATTTTAACAGCGTGTTCTTAAAGGGGCCCTTGTGCCCCACCAGCCCTCCTGCCAATCCCAGCCTTCTGTTCCCCTTCCCGGCACTTCAGCCCCCGGGCCAGGGAGCGCCGCTCTCCAGTTGTTTCCAATTCGTCCCAATTCCACTCCCGGGGCTGTGACGCCGATGCCGGGCTCCGTCCGCCTCCATGCTTTGGCTGAAATCCGCTCCTTTCGGGCCGCAGTCGGAGAATTCCGCGTGTACACACTGGGTACCCCCACGGCTGGTTCAGGATCTCCCCCGGGAGGGCACCAGCCCCTCCCGCTCACCGCTCCGGGCTGGGCTCGGTGCGAGCCTCCCCTCTGCGTTCCCCCCTCACGGCTCCCGCCGCTCCCTGCCGGGCCCGTGAGGGGCCGAGGGGCGGTGCGAGCCTCTCCTCTCCACTCTCCCCTCACGGCTCCCGCCATTCCCTGCAGATCCCGTGAGGGGCCGTGAGGGCAGTGCGAGCCTCCCCTCTCCACTCTCCCCTCACGGCTCCCGCCACTCCCTGAGGGGCCCGTGAGGGGCCGGGGTGGGCACTGTGAGAGCCTCCCCTCTCCATTCCGCCCCTGGGGGGCCGTGAGGGCAGTGAGAGCCTCCCCCTCCACTCTCACCTCACGGCTCCCGCCACTCCCTGAGGGGCCCGTGAGGGGCCGTGAGGGCCGTGCGAGCCTCCCCTCTCCGTTCCCCCCTCACGGCTCCCGCCATTCCCTGCAGATCCCGTGAGGGGCCGTGAGGGGCCGTGAGGGCAGTGAGAGCCTCCCCCTCCACTCTCACCTCACGGCTCCCGCCACTCCCTGAGGGGCCCGTGAGGGGCCGGGGTGGGCACTGTGAGAGCCTCCCCTCTCCATTCCGCCCCTGGGGGGCCGTGAGGGCAGTGAGAGCCTCCCCTCTCCACTCTCCCCTCACGGCTCCCGCCGCTCCCAGCGGTGCCCGTGAGGGGCCGGGCGGGACCGCGGCGCCTGCGCGGGGCCCCGGAAGAGGCGGGAGCGACCCAGGCCTTTAGCCGGGATTGGAGCCGGGGCCGGAGCCGGGATTGGGGCTGCAGTCACAGCCGCAGCCGGGCCATGCTCAGGGTGTTACGGGCCGGGCTGGCCCCCGGCCGCCCGCGGCACATCCAGGTAGCGGTGGCGGGACCGGCCCGCGCCCGCATGAGGGGACGGCCGCCCAGGGAGGGGAGGGAGCCGGGAGCCGGGAGCAGAAGGGATGGAGGGCGGAGGGACAGCCCCGGACGGGCCGCAGCAGCTGCAGGGAACGAGCAGGCACCGGTCACATGGATCGGGACAGGAAAACCGGGAATGGGCAGCGGGGCGGGCGCGGAGGGGCCGCGCGGGGTGCGCGGTGCGGTGACAGCTCCGAGGTGACCCTGGAAAGGCCACTCGGCTCCAGGTGACCGGGGACCACACAGGGACAGGAAGCCGCGGGGAAGCGGTTTGGCAGTTTAGCCATGAGCACAGTGAGTCCCGGGATAAATGACATTGGAAAAGCCCTCCCACACCATCGAGTCCCAGCTGTGCCCGATGCCCACCTTGTCCCCAGCCCAGAGCTCTGAGTGCCACCTCCAGGAATTCCTTGGACACCCCAGGAATGGGCACTCCAGACCTCCCTGGGCAGGCCCTTCCAAAGCCTGACCACCCTTTCCATGGCGCAATTCCTCCTGGTGTCCAACCTGAGCCTCCCCGGCACAGCTTGAGGCATTTTCCCCTCGTCCCACTCCTGGTGTCCCGTGAGCCAGTTGGATCCACTCCTGGCTGAGGCAGTGCCCTTCTCTTGCCTTGCAGCTCCTGCTGACCTCCTGCAGGCACTGCTCCTCGGGGGTCCTTCCCAACGAGAGGATCAGGAACATCGGGATCTCGGCTCACATCGACTCGGGCAAGACGACGCTGACGGAGCGGATCCTGTTCTACACGGGCAGGATCGCGCAGATGCACGAGGTTGGGCTGAGCTCCCAGGGTCTTCCTGGGACTTACTCACTTCCACACTGTGTTTTTCTGCATTGCTCATTCCGTGCAGCATCACTCCTGCACATGGATTCACAGTATCGTGGAAAGGTTTGGGTGGGAAAAGAGCTTAAAGCTCACCCATCCCACCCATGGGCAGGGGCACCTTCCACAGATCAGGTTGCTCCAAGCCCTCTCCTTGGCCTTGGACACTTCCAGGGCTGGGATATGAATTCTTAGCAAACTGTGAATTAATTTTTTTATTTCTCCTAAGGTGAAAGGTAAGGATGGAGTTGGAGCTGTCATGGACTCCATGGAGCTGGAGCGACAGCGGGGCATCACCATCCAGTCTGCAGCCACTTACACCATGTGGAAGGACACCAACATCAACATCATTGACACGCCGGGTAAGGGCAGCTGGCAGCACCTGGGCATTGCTGTTCCCCATGGATACAGGGGATGTGGTGCCCTTTGTGTCCTGGTTGTGATAGAACATGGAGTGATGGGTTCAGACTGGCAGAGGGATGGATGGATGGGGTATTGGGAAGGAATTGTTCCCTGGGAGGGTGGGCAGGCCCTGGCACAGCTGTGGCTGCCCCTGGATCCCTGGCCGTGCCCAAGGCCAGGCTGGACATTGGGGCTTGGAGCCCCCTGGGACAGTGGGAGGTGTCCCTGCCATGGTAGGGGTGGAATGGGGTTTAAGGTCCCTTCCCACCCAAACCATTCCCTGACTCTGTGCTCCATGGCTTCAGCTGATGTCACTCGGTGTGATTCCCTTGGCTGTTGCTCCTTTCCAGTGCCTTTATAATTTTCATTTGTATTTGTTATCCAGGCCATGTGGACTTCACCATTGAAGTGGAGAGGTCTCTGAGGGTGCTGGATGGAGCCATCCTGGTTCTCTGTGCTGTGGGAGGTGTCCAGTGCCAGACCATCACTGTCAACAGGCAGATGAAGCGTTACAACGTGCCCTTCCTCACCTTCATCAACAAACTGGACAGGATGGGCTCCAACCCGACCAGAGCAGTGCAGCAGCTCAGGTTTGGGCATTTACAGTGATTCCTGAAATTCCATCCCCATGGCAGGTCATTAGGAACAATGTTGGAAAGGCTTCTCTTGGGAGCTGCAGTTTGGAGAATTCCTGACACGAGGTTAAATCCTGATCTGACCCAGGACAAATCTCAGTTGTCCCAAACCCCCAAATATTGGTGTCAGCCACAACCTGCAGTGCCCAAGGGCTGGGGTTTGATGTTTATTTTGTTGATGGAACTGTATCAGGACCCACTCTGAAA